AGTGCCCCCCAGCGACTTCTGCAGAGCTCTGTGCTGCCTCCGATTCTCGCGCTAATATATATCACGGGTAGTCACCATTAATAGCCTTATTCTCCATGATGGTGGTGCGGGCGGAAATGATAACATTTATATAGTGCCTTATTTGCTCAAAGGTCATCAAGGCCGTGCCGTAATTTAGCTGCAGTGTGAGGAAGCTCTCTCTCTTATCTGGCTTGACTCTCAATTCAGCTTAATTGGAAGGCCCAGGTTCTAGTATCACAAAGGAAGGAGAGGCGCTCCCTGCAGCGTGCATAATTGCGTAGACTGCTTGTGTCCCCTCCATTGCCTGCTTTCTGAATTGACAAGCTCCAAATGTTGTAACTTTTAGGCACTGTTGCTTATTATCGTGTATTAAATACAGTGGTACCTTGGCCCACGATGTTAATCCATTCCAGGACTCTGGTCGTGACCCAAATTGATTGTGAGCCAAGTCAAATTTCCCCATAAGGTTCAGTGTAAATAGAAACATAGAAACAGAGCGAGTCAGAAGGGGCCTCCCAGGCCATCTAGTATGACCCCCGGCTCCGCTCATGACATGCCTACCATGTGCATGCCCAGCCTATCCTTCAACACCCACACCGATGGGGCCTCAGCCACCTCCCGTGGAAGCCCATTCCACACCCCTGGGGTCCCAACTGTCAGGAAGTGCTTCCTGGCATCCAAATGGAACCTGGGTTCCCTGAGCTTTGCCCCTTTGGAGCACGTCCTGCCTTCCTCTGCAGGGGAGAACAGGTCTCTGCCCATTTCCATGTGACATCCCCTCACATACCTGCATGTCGCCAACAGATCCCCTCTGAGACTCCTCTTCTCCAGGCTGAAGAGACCCAGTTCCCTCAGTCTCACCTCGTTCCCCATCCCCTGCAAACCGGCCACCAACCTTGTGGCCCTACGCTGCACTGACTCCAACCTGGCTGTATCCTTTCTGTAATGGGGGGCCCAAAACTGAGCACAATACTCCAGTTGCAGGCACACCAGAGTCATATAGAGTGGTAGTCATACCTCTCTCGATCTAGAAGCCATGCTTCTGGCTATGCAGCCAAGGGTGGCATTCACCCTCTTGACCACCGCATCACACGGCTGGCTCATGTTTAGCCTGCAGTCAACCAGCACCCCGAGGTCCCTCTCACAACTGCTGCTCTCCAGCCACTTGTCCCCTAACCTGTACTTATGACAGCTATTCCTATGCCCCAAGTGCAAGACCTTGCACTTATCCACATTGAACGCCATCCTGTTGTCTCCTGCCCACTTCCATAGTCTGTCCAGATCCTTTTGGATCTGGAGTACCTGCTCCTCAGTTGTGGCCACTGCTCCAGTTTTAGTGTTGTCTGCGAATTTGATCAGCAGACTGTTCACCCCTTCTTCCATGTCACCAATGAAAAGATTAAACAGGATCGGCCTGGGCATCCTGGGGTACCCCGCTTGTCACTGGCTGCCATCCCGATGATTCCCCACTAATGGTTACCCTCTGCTTTCAGTCAGTCAACCATGCCCTAATCCATCGGACAGTGCTTGGTCTATCCCAAAACTCCTCAGTTTCTCCACCAGGATATCATGGGGCACTTTATCAAAGGCCTTGCTGAAATCCAGATAAACCATATCCACTGCATCCCCTCCATCTAGCCCCCTCAAAACCTTGTCGTAGAATTTGCCTGGCAGGACCTGTTTTTGCGGAAGCCGTGTTGTGTGGCTGTCAGCCTCCCTTCCCTATCTAGCATCACTAGATCTCTCCGTATTATGAGCCTTTCCATTGTTTTTCTTACAATGGATGTAAGGCTAACTGGTCTGTAATTCCCCATGTCCCTTCTACTACCCTTTTTGGAAATAAAGTTAATCTGTTCTGCAACTATTTTTTTTTTAAATCAGAAAAATGTAAAGCAAAGTGACAAAGAACAACAAAGATGGCAGCCACCCCCCCCCCCCCCATTATAACCAAAATAACCCCTGCCCCCCCCGCGGGGGGGGGGGGGGGGGGGGGAGGGTTGGGGGGGCGCTGGGGGGGGGGGAGACAGGCGCGATTGTGCTGCCGGGCAGGGGGGGAGATGGCCGAGATCACAGTTGTGCTCGTGCAGGAAAGACGGGTGTGATCTCGGCCATCTCCCCCGCCCCCAGCACAGTCTCGGCCATCTCCCCACTCGGGGGCGGGGGATGAAATTGGAACGATGCTAATGTAGTACTTGCCTTATGAAGAACCACGGCGGACTTTGAAAAGATTTTGGCAAACGCTAGTGCTTTGTTAATTGTTGCAGCCATCGTTCAGGATCGGTTTCTCCTCTGTTGATGGTTCAGGTGTGGTTGGGAAGCGTGCCTGCAATTGTCGAAGCTGCACTGTCTCTTGAGGCCGCCAGAGTCGTTAGCGCAGAAGCAGAACGACGAGAAATCACTCTCAACTCTTCTTCCTGGCACTTGGCTTTCTGAATTCCCTATTCCTTGGTTATTCTATTCTTTTCATTGTGCCTTGTTATGCGGAATTTCCAATCTCCAGCACCTTTGATTTCACGTTGTTTACATTTTAATCCTGAAGGCGAGGTTTTTGTGATATTTTGATGTGTGCTTTGTAGGTAGTGGATGGTCATGATAAGTCCTGATGCCGATTCCAAGGAATCTCTAGTAAACCTTCTGTTTAGCAGTCACGCCTTACAAGGAGGGCCTGAAGGAAAAGGCCGCACTGTGCGATCTTCGTGTCCAGGCCACTCCAGCCGTGCCCCCTTTCAAGAGACTTGGGTCCATTCCTCCGTCCCGTTTTCTGTTTTTTCCAGACAGGCACCTCCCGCTAAATATACCAAGTGTTCACAGAGATGCTGTTGTGACGAGGGAGCCTGGGCGCCAGTTTTTCCCACTGGAAAGGGTAGAGAGAAAGCATCTATCCGTGATCGAAGTCGCAGTTCTCAGGCTGCAGCCAGCTCTCCGTGGCCGAAAGCAGCATCCGTTCTTGTGCCTGGCCTCATGTCTGCCTTTCAGAAGTAAAGAGAAACGTGGCAGTCCTCATATTCCCAAAACTAGAAATTAATTGTGTGTGTGTGGGGAGGGGTGGGGTGGGGTTAAAAAAGGGAGCCAGCTCAGTCCAAATTCTGATTTTGCTGTTCAGAGCAAAAGGCCGGCTGGGCAAAGCCGCTCTCGGGGCATGTCTAAACGAGCGCTTCAGATTCCAGCCCGTACTAATAATCATTGCATATTTCCAATTAGGATGGGCTACATGCAAAGAGAAGCAGGAGGGTGGAAGGGAAAACACATCTAGTCCTCAAAAGCATTTGTTCGTATTATTTACATTCTAGGGGTTTTTGTGTTTTCCCTTTACACTTACATGTATATTAAAGTTGCCTCCTTTTGATTCTCCTAAATCCAAATGGTTGATGAAACATGTTCTCCTACTTTCTCTGAATTTCCATTGAAGAGCTTTTATCTCTCCCTAATCCCACCATTTCTGTCAGGACATAATCTCTTTCTCAAATTTACATTTTAATTACAAGGCCAGCTGAACTAGCTAAAATCAATAATGTCAGCATTCAGTAGCCTAACTTTCTGCTGAAACCCAGCCTCTCTATTTCCTACTATTGATTTATCTCTTTAACACTGTCTGCTTATTGCTTCAGGCAAATAGGTGCCATTTGGTCAGTGTGAAAAATAATAAAAATAATAATAATAGCACCCCCCAAGAAGACTGGGAGTTTTAAAAATGTTTATTCCTGACGTGAAAAGTACTGGAGCAAATACTGGCTGAAATACTACAGAAGCAATAGTATGGAAAATAGGAAATGTGCAAGGTTTTTAACTTTAAAGCACCGTTCTGGTTTTGAGGCAGACATTTTCTGTTCAAGAGTTGTGATTGGAGGAAGGAGGAGCTCATTTTATGCCTGGTTATATAAATGAAAGCCTTTGTAGAATTAAATGAGTATTTACCTAACGAGGAAACAGTATCGTGACTCTTTCCTCCTCCTGTTTCCTGAAAGAATCCTTGGTGAGCTCATTCTTGCACAAGCGCACGGCACACGCATCATTCCTCGAGTAGCTGCACGATCTTGGCCCTGTCTGTTGGCCACTGGACCTTAACCGCTGCACCAACAAAGGGGGGACCTGCGTGGGTTGGAATTGCTTTATTACGGAGAAGCTTCCTGGCGTCTTGCAGCTGGATAACTTCTGGAGCCTCTTCCTGCTGACCTCTAGCCAGAACCGACTGCCTGCAGCTTGAGCCTGCCGCTCCGGTCCTGCACTCTGGGATGTGCGGGAGGAGACCCTGCCCTTGCTCTTTGTGACAGCCCGGCTGTGCGGATAGGATTGGGCGCAGCAGGGAGGGAATGATGTGAGCCACCTTGAGTTCTTTAAAAGGGAAAAAGGTGGGATATAAATCTAATAAATAAATACAGTTCCACCTTATCCCTTGGTCTAAGCAACTTCTTCAGATTTTGTAAACTTAGAAACAGGGGAAATAGGTAACAAAGAAAGACTGCGGTGGCCTGTCCTTTGATCCCATGCACATGGGGCTGCTTGAACCCTGATGATGGTTTCTGCTTCGATGCAGCCGGGCCCTCATGCAGCCTTCCTCCCCCTGCTTTCCAGATAGGTCTTTGCCTGACCAGGCTGGGGACAGTGGCTCCGGAGGAGGCTGCAGAGGGGCAGGGAGAAGTGGTGGAAGGACCAGGTCCCCACTCTCTGCTGCTTCTCTGCGGCCAATTACCTTGCCCTGCTTGGCCGGAAAGCCCCGGCCAGGGTTTGCCTGCAATGGAGGCGAGCTGTCCTTTTCCTCCCATGGAAGAGGTGGACAGCACGAGAGCAGCGAGTTAGAATTCCCTCTGCTTCCACGAAAGTAGCTACTCTGTTTCTGAGTTCTGTTTCTCCTGCTGCCTGCAAAGCAGAGATTTCCAAAATAGGATTTGCAGACTGGCCACATGCGGAGAAGAAGGGTTGTGTCACACGCTACATAGCAGCGCATGTATGCTTACCCTGTGCTTACGTTTCTTTTGCAGGTTTGGCGCCCGTAACATCACCTAAGTCTTCAGCAAAACAGACAGAGAAAAAGGCATCTACGGTAACCTCCAGTTCCCAGGCTAAGAGAAATGAAGAAGAACTTGATCCAACCTGTGCAGCTGCAACATGGAAAATTATCCGAGATAAATTGCCTAGATTACAGCCTCCAGATGACAGGTTGATATACACACACAGTTGGAAATCTTATTCCCTTGTCTTTAGATTCAGAACAGTTCCTTGGAAAGATAATGAAATCATGACAGACGGTGATAATTGTGAAACATTTAGTAATCCTGTTTTGCTCCTAGAGAGAAAATGATTTAATATTTTAGACTTTTGAAGAGAACTCCCAGGGTTTCAAAACATCAAATATTACAATAGTGGATGTTCTCAAGGCATTTCACAAAACAAAACTTAAAGCCATTTGAAATTGTAAATCCTCAAGGGTGAACACTGAAAATCAGTTGAACAAAAATTTAAACATTCTGAATGATTATTTGGAACAAACTATTAACCCTATGTTTTGTTGACTTCTCTTTCCTGGAACAGCCATTCACAAGATGGTGATGGCATAGCAGATGAGATATATCTCTAAATATAGCTGCCCCTGCATCCAGTCACCCATTTTTTAAAGTAAAAAAATGAGACAATGCTTGGCAAACAACATCACTGTGCATATATTCAGAGACTCGAACGGCTTGTCCCGCCAGGTTTGTGTGCCACATGCAGCAGCCCAGGAGGAACAGGAGGATGTTCCCAGGTTGTTGGTGGGAACAGTGAGCACAGCCGCTCGCTGGTGCCTGCCCCACCTGGCTGGAGCCAGTCAACCCATAGTTCGTATGTACGTGTGAACTGGGCCGCAGCCTCTTTTCCAAGCATGCTCTCGCCAGCGTGGAAGCTGAGAGTGCACCTCTGTAGATACCTGTGTCTCAAATTTACTTTCCAAACCTAACAGCGTTGGCTAGCTAAGGCAGAGAAAAACCATGTCCCAATATGGTCCAGCCACAGAACAGAAACTGAGGGTGAGGTGGGTCGCCTCTCCCCTTGCACCCTCCACACGGTCACCAGACGCCTCTGTGGGGCTGGCAGGCCCTCAGCAGGAGAAACCCTGTTGTCTGGGGCTCTGTGTTCTGAGTCTCCTGCCTGACATCGGCTGTGTGAGCTGGACTCTTGCCGAAGCCGTGCATGCGCTCATAAACCAAGGAGCCCAGGCGAATGCGGCCGAGCTTCTCTCTTGCCTTTCTGGCTTCCGTGGGATGTGGGGTGGCCCTGCAAGCACAAGTGAGCCAGCAGGCCTTGGGTTCGCTCAGAGGACACTTCTGCGCGTTGTTGGGGACGCTCTGGAATTATTTTTGTGAAGCAACAACGGCATTTAATCCGCATCATAACTGTTTAAATGGCACTTGCTTTTCCTTTCTCTCTTCTCATCAAAAGACCTAGAAAACTCACTAAGCACTGTGCTGAATGTGGGACTCTGTCATTTCTTGTTTGTATTATTCCTCTTCCGCAGCAGCGTTGACGTGCCGAGTGGCGTGCGGGCGGGGGCGGGAGTCGCCGCTCAGCCCCTTGGCAGGCACGTTGGCATATCCCCGCCTCCTGTTTCTTTTGTCTTGCACATTAGGAATCCTGACCAAGCGAGCAGGAAGCGCGAAGAGGACGAAGCCAAGGCTCCTGTGGTGCCGTTTGGATTGGACATTCTTTACTGGGGCCAAGAGCAACCGACTTCCGGCAGGATTCTTAAGTAGATCTCTTCCTCCTTGTTTGCTCTCTCAATGCGATCAAGCTTCAGAGAGGGTCCTGAGTGACGCTTGAGGCCAAAAACATTCAGGAGCTTTCAAGGAAGAAAGAGTTTCAGTCCAGCAGGGGGCAGAAGGCGTCACAGGCGTCAGGCAGCAAAGCTTCCCTTTGCCGCGTTCCCTAAAAGACCAAGGCAGCGGAGGCACCCAAAGCCTGACCAGCCAGTTTCAGTGAGGGAGGCACTTGCATTGCAGTCTCGAAAATGTTGATCCTCACCCAGAATAAATAACCGCTTTCTTAGAAGCAGCCTCAGAATCCCTTAGGAGACAGGTGGGAGATGGTCCGCGTTGTTTCAGCTCCGGGGTTGCATCCTGCATTCGCCCTCCCGGCTCTGCCTGGCCTGCATAGCAGCCCCGTCGGCTGGAACAAGGCCTCCTGGTGCACTTCGCCACCACGCTGACTGTGAGCCGAAGAACTTGTCTAGCGGGGTGACGCACTCCGTTTCTTCTGAACTCGGCCACATCGGGATCCAAGTGGATCCAAGATCTGATGATGAGCAAAAGGGGGGAAATGCTTGCATGAAAACAGGGCCGTGGCAAACCCTCTTTCAGGCGTGCTAGTTCTCTGTGTCCAGAAAGAGCGTCTTTGGCCATCTTTCGAACAAGGCCTTTCACCTGTTTAAGAGCAGGACTGAGAGTTTGGTCGAGACCTCGGGACAAATACTGTATTGATTCGGTGGAATTGCTCTGTCCACCTTCGAACTAGAACACAGCACATGGTGGTTCTAACTGTGTTCTGCCTCCTAGATTTTCTTCTCAGCATCGCTTTTGGGCACCCAACGAGGTGGAAGAGGAAGTGGAAAACAAAGAAATTGCAGGCATGCTGAAGAGCAGGCTCATGACGTTCGCTGGCACTTTTGACCCAGTGAAGCATAAGTGCCGGGCACCCATGCCTCACGGAGGCCTCTGTGAAAGGCAGGATAGATTCAAGGTGGGTGCGTAAGAAGGTCCGGAGAGTCCATCTCCGCGCCGGGCCTCTTCCGCCCTTCGTTAAAAGGCTCGCTCCTTGTGCTGGGTTTGGCCTGAGAGTTGAATGCGAGCCGAGCCACCTCTGTCCAAAACCGCGCTCACTGGTGACGCTCACCGCCCACCCTTGACAAGCCTGAATTCCTGGCAGGTGGTGACGAGCATAAAATGTGAGGATCCGGCACATGTTGGGTGAGGCTTTGGAGGACGAACAGGGTGTGGGTGGGGAGCACTCAGAACGACACGCAAGAGGAGGACCTGCCCTGCTGAGCCAGGCCGAAGAGCCACCTTGCCGAACGAAGCCTTTGTCACCCGTGCTCATCCACGCTGCTTCCGCCAGCCTCCTGAGCCGGAGGCTGGGAAGAAGGGCCCCGCCCTGCTCTCACGTGCGGGGGCGTCTGTGGTGCTGTAGCGTCCCACTGCCTTGCCGTGGGCTGTGGCGGGTGCCAGCCACCCTTCGGAACGCTCCGTGGCCTTCGACGTCCCGCAGGTGTGGCTGCTCTCGCAAGACCCTAAACAAGCCGGGCCTCAGCCGTGGGTTCCACAAGCCGTGGGTTATGCGGGGGCTGTTTAAGCCTGGCCCAAGCGATGACCCACGGCACCCGCCCGGCACGGCTTGCATGGGTGGGCCTCCTCAGGGAAGGGGGCTTCAGGAGTCCCGTCGGACCATGTGCACCTGCCTGGGCAGCTGCGTGGGTTTCCCGTGTGTGGCTCATCCTGGAGAGGGTTTCCAGGCAGCCCTTCCGCCAGGCCCCCCAACACGCGGCCGGCCCTCGCTTTCCCCGTGCCACCCAAGGGGCCGCGACAAGGGGGGGAGCGCCGGTAATCCGGAGGAGGCCTCCTCTAGAGCAAGGGTGTGCGGGGCATTGAGGAGGGCTCCCTCGCTGCCGCCGGTGAGCGTGCGGCTCGGTGCCCAGCGGGCGGGATGCTGCCCAGGGCAGCCTGCGGACGCCACTCTGCGCCTTTCTCCCTCCACCCCTCGCTCTCCAGAAGGCCCTTCCGTCCGGCTTCCGCTGCCTCAGAAGTGTTTGTATTTGGAGGAGGAGCAGCAGCCCCAGTGTCCATTAAGCTCGCATTGGGTTTGGGGGTTTCTTTGCTCCAATAAACGTCCTTCGCAAGGCGCCAGAAGTGAAGTCCCGATCGCAGACAAACTGCGCTCCCACTCTGAATGGCTTGCTGCAAACACGCTGCCGTTTTAATATTCTGATAGCCTAGAATCATATGGACCGATCAGCACAGCTTCTTGACCTGCATAAAGCCAGTTGGGGTTTTTCTGGACCAGCTGTGTCACAAATATGCCTCAGACCAGTCTTAGCTTGTTCATAAAAATATAATGTGGACTCTTAAAAAAATTCAACTGTGACTGTTTTGTCCTGAAGTGCCCTTTTCACGGAAAAATAATCCCCCGGGATGAATCTGGGACTCCTGTGAATCAAGAAGATCGAGACAGGGAAGCAAAGAAACAGTGGGAGGAAAAAGAGCAGCACCCAGGTTCGTGTGCGTCATTCAGTCTTCAGTTCAGTCTGCCATGCATGCAGGGCACTCTTTGAATAGGACTGGAGGTAGTTTTGAAAGAGTCCAGTGAACTCATGCTGTAAAATTGAGGCCTAAAAATCAAGACATGATGGATCATAATGGAAGATTTGAAAGAATAATATTATTCCCAAATAAGAGGAGCCGTTCTTGTGAATACCTTGTTCTGTAGCAGCCCTTCCAAAGGGTGGTACCAAAACCACTTCACGTAAATAAGTGTTTCATAGGGCGTTGCCTAACCATCTAACAAAGTGACTGCTTTGCTGCTTGTAGGGGCGCTCCATGCATGCGGTCCGTTGGGTGAAACGTCAGCCATGCCCCTCGACGGGTTCACCCTTTCCTCCACTCCCCGCTCTGCAGAACGGCCTTGTGCGAAGTCACGTGGGTGGAATGTTAGGAAGAGGGAGGAAGCGCCGGGCTGCCACACAGGACCCTGAACCACAAGAGATTGTCCCCGGTTGCTCAGTTTTCGGGGTTCCTGAATTTTGGAAAATGCGCTCCTTCCTTGAACTCCTGGCCACATGAAGATGGCTGCTGTCTGGTTCAGTGCCAAGACTCGGGGTTGGGAAAGGAAGGTGTGCCAGTCGAAATGGGGCGAGGGGGCAGCCTGCAGTGGAGAGTCCGGCCGTACGAGCAGCGGGGAACGCCTGTGCGCCTGCGCCAGCGACGCTGGGGAGGAGCCCCTTCCTTCCTGAGTCCTGTCCGCAGAAGGGCTGGGCTGCCCCGGCCACCCCTGCCCCACGTGGGCACTTGCGGGCTCCCACCTGAACCACTGTGCTTCGTGTCCCAGCAGTGGAGTGGAGAGCTTGCGCTGCCTGGATCCAGGTGCTCTGCCCGATCAGCGAGGCCTGACTTTGCTTTGCTCTTTGCTCTTTGCACTGCTCTGCTTTGCTCTGCTTTGCTTTGCTTGACGCAGCTTAAAAATATTACGTCCCAGTCAAGTGTCCGTGGAGCAGAGCTCCGGGCTCTTCTGAAACGACGAATCCTGGGGGATTAGGGTGACCCGCTAATCTGCAGTGTTCATCCTTTTACAATAGTTCACACAGAGGAGCAAATTAAGTGCCTATTTTTTGTGTCAGCCCTGAAGAATATCTGGTTTTCCAGCCCTTAGTGACTTGTTAACAAACAGGTATCGGGACAAGGTAGTGAAGGCAGCCGCTGGCCAGTCAGATGTGAAATAGTATCTCTTTACTAACTACAGTATTGATTCCACCCTACCCTCGCAAACTGTGTAATTTTCTTTTCCCTGCTGCTAAACCAGTAACAATGTATGAAGAGCTTTAGGGGCCCATCAGCGCTCAAAACGGCTGCTGTTCCTGGCATGCGATCGATTTTTCTCAAAGGCTTTTAAATTGCTCCTTCATTTTACTCAAATGCTCATTTCATCTCTACTGAACACCAGCATTTTTCGTTGTGTTTAAACAATTGCGCCATTCACCGAGTTCCTAAACTGTGACGCCACCTTATTTACTGAGAGATAAACTGTTTAGACGGTTTTTTGTTAATCTTGGATTAATTGTGCTTGTGTCTTGAATTGTTCTGCTCTGTATTCCTTTGCTTCCAAAAAAAGCCGGCACTGCGATCCATCTCGTCGTGTGTGTGGTTTTATTTTGCCCTTCTAAGCTTCTTCATTTGAATTACTGGAGAGCTCCATTTTTCTCCTTCTCTTTGCAGAGTTTTAATCTTGCTGTTATTGCCATAAATGAAGCTAATAGGGTGGTTTTGTTTGGCTTTTAGAAGTTCATCAATACACTACCATGGTGAAAAATAGTTTGGTGCTACCTGCCTGGAAAGGGCTGAAGCGATCTTTTATTTTGAAGTTCATGACTGCTAATCGCAAGCACACGGACATTAATGAATGCTAACAGCAGCTGTACCGGGATATTATTGTTTCTCCCTTGACAGCAGAATACAGGGATGAAGAGTAATGCACATGTAGAGTCGTGTTGTGTATTTCTGTCTGAGCCCTTAACTTTGGGAATTTTCTCTGCTCGACCGTGCTGTTTCTCACTCTTATCAGTGTTGGTTTCTGAAGTCCGGGCTCTCTGAAAAGATCACTTCCTGTCAGCTTCCACAACTTTATTTTCCCCTTTTATCAGTGCTCTTGATATTAATTTGTTTTGCTAGACAATTGGCATAATTCGGTCTCAGGCATAGTACCCATGCAAGAGCCTTGTTCCTCACACTCTGGATGTTAGCCTAGGAAGTCACGAACTTGCTGGTTGGGTGTCCTTTTATTGGACTTCCGAATTTGAACTGGAGTCGGTTTATCTGATGGTGGAACTCCGCAGGGCCATAAAGCGGCACTGCTTAGGCATGCTCAGAAGCAGTCTTGTAAGGATTTGTCCCCGATCTTTTGTTTGGTCCTACCACGCCAAATATGTGTGACTGCCACCCGTTAGCAGTGGAGCAGTGGCTGGTTCTTTTGTCTTTGCAGAGTGGCGAGATCCAGAGGTCATGAAAGAAGTGGAAGCGGCCACTGGCGTCGACCTCGGATCCTCTCGGTATAGCGGAAAAGGAAAAGTGGGGAAGAAAGGGCAGATGAAGAGGAAGAAGTACCCGAACCTGACAGATCTGAGGCAGCAAGCGGACACATCCCGGGCCCGCCTGGAGAGGAAAGTTTTCAATAAGTAAGAGACGTCTCGATTTGTGCTGCCTCTGCTTGCGGTTGCTCCTGTTATTTCTGTTTTGATTTACCGTGTGTGCTGACCTGTCTGTGTGTATCATGGGAAGAAAGAGGCAGGCTGCGTTCTTGCAAGCTTTTTCTTTGATGGACGCCATTCTCTACATGTTTCCTGATGATGCAAAAGTTTGCTAGCCTGGTGGGTTTGAGTGTCATGTCCAGGACCAAAAACACCTTTGAATGAACACAGTGTGACGTAAGGTGCTTACAGATTCGTTCATTCGTCAACCTGTGTGGAAACTGTAGTGTATACTGCCTATTTTGGTGGGCCTTCAGGAGAAGAGAAGACTCACGCTGGGAGTTGGAGGAGCCACCAGCACCAGCAAACTGGCCAGGTGCTACCTTTGGCATCAGCTGGCCGGTTGAAAAGCCGTGATTTAAAAGTCTGGTCCTGCATGTGCCCTTTGGGCCATCTAGGCAGGTGCAGGGCTGCATACCAAGGGGCCCAGCCAAAGCGGCGTCCTGGTGGCATGGCCCTTCTGCACAGCCCAACGGGTTGCGTGTCGAATCCGCACAGCTCTGCCAGCCACCCCCAGAGATGGGCAGGGATGTGCTGGATGCCCCACACACGCCTGACCCCAGTGGGCGGAGGGCAGTCGAGTTGCCGCGGGTGCAGATGGCCAGCAGTTGCCCTGCAGAGCCGCCCTCTCTGGGGCAGCCAGCATGCCCACCGGGCGCCCGGGGTCCCCAAGGCAAGTTGCATGGAGCAACTGCTGTTAATTCCAGAAGCAAAGCAGCTTTTGTTCTGAGCAAAAATATTAGCGCCTGCAATATGATATAATCTCCAAAGCCTGAATGAGCCAATTGAAGGGATGTTGATTGTTTAAAAAGGGTGTTCTTCTCCTTGTCTTGATGTAATGGCTGTTATGAGTAATGAAACGCACGTCGGGCCTCGTCTCCTCGCAGAGCAGGCCACTGTCCGTGACAGCCTCGCATTATCTGCTCTTATTTTGAGGAGTCAATAAGCCATAAAGTTCTAATAAGCAGAATTTCACATCACCTTTAGAAAATAAATTTCAAAAGTTGTTTTTAGTTTACTGTGCTCCGTGCTAATGATTTTGAATGTGTGGTAGTGCCAGGCGTGGGAATTCAATCTGTCATATTTTAATAGGCTTCATAGTTTGCAGCACTAAACAAGGTTATAACCTTGGCTTTATATAACAGTCCCAAATTACTTGAAATGTACCGGTGATAAACCAGGCCCTGATCTGCCAATAAAGTTAAGTGAAATTGCACTCTGGCCATCAGAGTGGGATCGCGTCTCGTCCGCAGCATCTCACAGGCCGGTGGTGTTAATGCGCAGGCTGTGCGGCACGACAGCGCCAAGGCCGTTGCACTGCGCTCCAGACTCGCTTTGCTCCCGCCAATCGCATCCCAGCCGCAGTCACCACCGCTTTGTGGCCGAGTTCCAGTCAGCTCCCCCAGCTTAAAGAGGCATCCTTTAATCTGCTGTTCTAAATGCCCCATTTTTAAAGCGTCATTTAAGCGTTCCCTCCCGACTTCAGGCACCTTAGAAAGGCTTCGGCATAAAGCTGTTGGGGTTGCGAAACGCAGGCGTGTCTGAGCGGTTGTCATCCATGTCCACGGAGTTGGGAGATGTGCTCGAGGGAAGGTGTGCCCCCGAAGCCTTGATCCAGATGCTCTGAGGCCGCTGCAGACTGGCCGTGACGATGCTGTTCATGGCATCCTGACCCATAAGGGGGCTTCCTTCTTTGGTACACAGAGGAGACCATTGACGGCCACCCGTCCTTCTGGTCTGTGCTACTGCTTAGTCAGTTTTCTAGTGGGTGGAGTGGCTCCCCCAGAGCAGAGTTCTCAAGTGACGGCCTGTGCAGAGAGAGCTGGCCATCCTTGGCTTTATTTACAAGCGGGAACTGCCAAAGGCACATCCTGTTCTGCAGCTGGATAATTTTGGACCCCAGCTTAATGGTTTTATGCCTCCCCTTTTAGACAGCCAGGTGTGTCCTGTTCCAGGTGTAAAGTACCTCTCCTCACCTCACCCCCATGGCTTGCTTTTCAGTTAGTCCTGCTTTTCTGATACGTTGCAGCAAACAAAAGCAGGGAGTGGGGGCCCACGGCCTTCTCGGCCCCTGGCAACTCTCCGCTTGTGCTTCCGGGGCAGAGTTCCCCACCCTGAGAGCGGCTCTCTGCAGAGCATGGTGCCAGAAATAATAATCTCCAAGTGCTGGAAATCATCTCCAAGAGTGATGACTCTGCCTGCAAGAAGAGCTGTTCCCGTTCTGGCCTCGCATGGAGTCAGTTCCTTCACTTCTTCCTCATGAGTTCCTCCTCCCCTTCCTGCCCCTCTCCGGCAGCCCCGGCACCTCCCCTCTCGCGTTTATCTGATGGCCATTCTGGGCTTTCACCTTGCAGTATCGCGTAAATCTTACTTCTCACAGGGTCTGGTTAGGCTGCTCTGTAAAGGCGCCGGACATCAGTGCCCCGTTGCCTCAGCGGAGGCTCCGTTTCTGGAGGCCCTGGTGCCCAGCCTTCCCAGCAGCGGTTGCGGCGTCCCTAGGCAGGGCACTGGGTCAGCCAAGCACTGCCCCACTGTTGGGCAGCGTAGGGATTAATCAGACCAGCATGACCCACATCTAGGGAAGGACGGAGTGGGGCACTCTCCCAGCCATGCGTTCCTGCCCAGGCTTGCGGTCTCCTCCCATCTCCACCAGGTTGTGATGTCGCCGTTTTTTTCCCTGGACCCGACTGAAAACGGTTCCTTGGATGCAAACAGTTCCTGCCCACCTTGAACTTAATCGTCCCCGTGCGCCATGATCTTCCTTGCCCCTCAGCTCTGCCACTCCAGAACTCCAGCGCTGAACATGCACAGCAAAGGCTGCAGTGGGTGTGACGGAAAGGGTGCTGTCCGCAGGAGGTTTTTTTTAGAGGGGGCGGTCATGGGTGCTTCCCAGTTTGTAGCTTCCTTGGAGAGCTATGCTGAGAAAGCTACCGCCGTGGCTGATAGTTTCTCTCTCTACTGTAGGGTTCCCACCGAAGTATTTGTAAATAAGTGTTAATGGTTTCCATGATAAGCTATTCATGTTTCTCGGTGTCATTCGTATTGTGCAAAGACCAAGTCCAAAACACATCCTGATGAACAGAGCCCCATGCATATTTCTCCCACAAAGCTGATATTCTTATATTCCTTGGGCAACATTTAAAATTTCACCTAAGTAATTGTCTAAAATGGATGTGGCTATAAAAGGTGGGAAGAGCGCAATCATCATGCTGAAAGACTTCCATTTGTTTGTTTCTGTTAATGAGCCCATTGCTAAATTAAAACTGTTTGTATTGCTGTAGCTAATTTAGTTAACATAATAAATTTGTTCTGCTTCATCATCAGTGCAAGTGTTTGAGGCTTGATTAGCAATTAATCATACCCCACTTCATTATTTTTGCTAACATATTCATAAGCATTGCCTGTATTCACATGAAATATTAGTTTAGCTCTCTTTTCATATTGTCTTGCTTTTTCTTAACAGAACAGCCATGAAACGAGTGGTGAAAGCAATGAACCGCGTGGATCAAAGAAAACACGAGAAGTTTGCAAACCAGTTTAACTACGCCCTGAACTGAACATTGAAATGTCAAGACTGAGATGACACTTTGCCGGGCTGTGATTCCTAAACTCCACAGATAAAACATCTTATTGGAGTGGTATAATTAGTATAAATTTGGATAATCTAATATATTTGAAAATGAAAGTGAATATTTATTAAACATTATTTTCCCCATTTGTCTGTGTGCAAAACCAGTCCCTCACAGTTGATAACTGTTTGCATTTGGGGTGAAATAGAAGAAAGCTTGTAAGAATACCCATTGTTTTTTTTTAAACGTCAGTGGACCAAACAGTTTTATATTGTGTGCTCAAGATCACTTCCGGGGCAAATTTGCTCTGGCATTTGGCCAGTGGTGGCGCATGCTAAGAGAAGCTGCAGCTGCGACCACAGGTTCCCCCACCCGCGCCTCTAGCCCCCCCCCCCACCGCTGGCCACCAGCCTGCGCCACGCTCCCCAGTCATCCTGGGGGCCGTTACGACGGTCTCGCCACTGCTCCACAGTTGAAGCTACCTGGGCGGCTCTCAGCCATCTGTAAAACAGACAGCAAAACTGCCATTAGAAAATAGTAAGAGCAGAAAAACTGTTAAATGGTTAAAAACGGCTGAAATAGACAGAGCGACTCCATCGGAGGCTGGGGTGGGTGTTCCCCACAAGCCCACGGGGGGGTCTTTAAAGCCCCCGGAAAAGAGGGCCCTCTTAATCTGGCACCAAGGAGACGACTAATTTGGGGCCAGGCCGGCCTCAGTGGAGAAGCCGTTCCAAAGGCAGAGGGGCGTCACTGTGAAAGCGCCCCCTGTTGCCCCCCCCGAGCTTTCCCCGGAGCTGGCTCTCGGAGGGGGTCCCCGGGGCTGGGGGTGGCCCAGGCAAGCTGCAGGAGGGAGCGGCACTCAGCAGGTATTGGGGTGCCTGGCCGTGTGGGGCTGTACAGGTAGAACCAGCACCTTGAGTCAGGCCCAGAAGCGCACAGGCAGCTGCACCTGCGGGCCAGAACCAGCCAGGTGCCCCTAGTTTACCTGGGTGCCGCATTTGCAGCAGCTGCGGCTTCTGAGCCATCCCCGGGGCCGCCTCGCATGGAGGGCATTGCCGCGGGGGGGGGTGGCGGAGGGACGGGGACCTTCCCCTCCCCAGGGGACTCCGGTCTCGGTGGCAACCGTAATAGGTAGCCGAGCTCTGAGCAACACTTATTTTCAGATGTGGGAACGAGTCATCGTGTGGGAAATGATACCATAGGAGCTGTGAACAGTGGGATTCGTGCGACGTGCTGCAAAGAAAAGTCACGCTGGCCCCCAAAGCTGGGATCCATCCGGAGGGACGGGCACTTGCTCTCTGATGCACGCCAGAGCTTCTTGGTTTTTTACCAAATATGTGTAGTCTTTTACTGAAAAATGATTTAACAGAAAATTAACCTAGTAATTTAGTATTTTATAATACTAAATTTAGTATTTTATAATACATGTATGTGTGGATAAAAACGCTCACGATTCTTTCTTGTGATCCTGTGATTTAGCCTTTCTGCTCACAATAGTTCTCATCCGGTTGCCTTTGATCAGCTGTGCTCAGCTTTGTCATTTCATAAAAAGGGTAACAAAACGGGGCCTGGAAAGTTCAAATGTAATTTATGTAAACATAAATACATGAAAAATTCATGTTGGTGTATGTTGACAATATTTTCTGCAAATGATTTCTATAGTCCATTTTGTAATAAAATCTATTTGTAAGTAATGCTAGTTCCTTGCTTGAGTTGTACAGGATTTCAAGTTCCTTATATTTGTTGAGAGACTGTTTCTGCCAAGTGTGGCTCCTCCAATAAATTATTGGCCTGTGTTGCTGATAACTCCCTCCTGCAGAAAGTGGAGGAAGGAACTAGAGCACGGGTCCTCGAGCTGCAGCCGGGGGGCTGGATCCGGCCTGCCAGGCCCATTTCACCTGCCACCGCCCACTTCGCCCCATGTGCAGGGAGACGACAGTTTGCTCGCACGGAGAAAAGGATCTCCAGGCGATACTCGGGTGCCCGCCCCTGCCCGCACCTCGCCTCCCCTCACCGTGCGCGCCCGGCCTCGCCTCGCCACATGCCCCCTCGCCGGCCCACGTGCACCGCCGACACCTTTCAGCTGGCCCCCTGGTGAAAAAGGTTGAGGACCCTGCCAGCTCGATCCCACTCATCAGCAGAGATGACCTAGTGGTGGTTATGGGGACTGCAGACAAGGGACCTGGCATAATTGAATTCTCAATGGCAAAGCACGGGTCCTCAAGCTACGGCCCACGAGCCGGCTCCGGCCTGCCTCTGAGGTTTTGGACTCCGAGCAAGTTCGAAAGCTCTGAGCTGGCGCAGGCGTTCCCTGAAACTGGGCAGAGTGCTGGCGCAGGCACTGCACGGGTGCTGCTCTCCCCCTTCCCCAGCTGGGTGCATGTGCAGAGTGGGAAACAAGCGAGTTGGGCTGGAGAGAGAGACGGCGCTAAAGGAGGATTGAAGGTAAGAAAAAACGTACCTCCTCAGACTAACTTTCTAAGTCTATTGCTAATGACATGAGCCATGTCCCTGGGCTGCGGGCCAAGCCACTGCCTCCTCGCCGAGCCCGGGGTCAGCTGCTTGGCGGCGGTGGCTTGCCCACAGAAGGCTGCCCCCGGGCTCGGCGAGGCGGCTTGCCGCGGATGCACCGGAGCCACGGCCTTCAGTGGGGGAGCCGCCCCCCCGTCAAGCAGCGGCCCCACCCCCGGGGTTGACGGGAGCAGAGCCAACATTTTTAATTAATGTTAATTATTTTTAATTTTTAATGTATTTCAATTTAAATTAATATGTGCCATGTGCATAGGGATTCATTCATTTTTTTCCAAACTATAGTCCGTCCCCTCAACAGTCTGAGGGACAGTGAACTGGCCCCCCGTTTAAAAAGTCTGAGGACTCCTGTTCTAAAGGAAGCAAAAGCTGAGTGTAGACAACCATCTCTCCTGGATTTTAGAACAGCCAACTTTAATGAACACGGAACAATGAAAGGGAAGTTTGCATTAAATGAAGTCCATGATAGAGAGGAGCTTTTTTTTAAAGGAAATTTTATGGCACAATTACAACTCCAACCAGAAAAAGAAGGTAAGGTAGCAAAAGAAGCCCACGTGGCTTCATAAAAAGATGAGTGATCGGAAAACAAAAGAGGATGCTTTTAATTTAATTTAATTATTTTTTGTTTATTTATTTAGAACTTTTTAGACTGTCCCTTACTGTAGTGTCAGGACGGTTATAAAATAAAACACAGCATCTAGGAAGCAGGAGGAAGGCCGGGCTCCAGCACGGAATCGCAGGGATGGCATCAGGAAGGTTAAAGCTGAGCACGGGCTGAGGGATGCTGGAAGCGACAAAACAGGCCGCTTCCGATGTTCTGCAAAGACATCTAAAAGACTAAGGGAAGAAATGGGGGTTCGGCTGCTCAGTGTGGACGGCAAAATGATAACAGGTGACCAAGAGGAGGCAGAAGCACTCGGCCCCTAAATTGGCTCCGTCTTCTCCCAAAAGAGCGTCCCTGAACTGATCTCTGGCAAAGGTGAAGTACAAGCTGGAGGGGCAGGACCGCAGCTTGAGGCCAATACCCGAAAGGTCAAGGGATGCCTCATTACGCTGAACGAGTTCAGAGCTCCAGCACCTGATGAACTGCGTCCTCGAGCCGCTATTGGTCGTCTCCGAGGAACCGCGGGGACAGATGCCTGGAGCAGGGCTGCTGCTGCTGCCTTCACAAAGGGGGAAAGGGGCACCTGGGAACTGCAGGCAGGTCCATCTGACGTCCCCGTTCCGGAGCAGATTATACCGCAACCCATCTGTGAACACCTTGAAAGCGATGCAGGCTAATCCGAGGGCCTGTTTTGATTGGGTAGCCTCTCCGGTGGGGCGTGTGAATGCCGTGAACGCGAGGTATGGCGACTGCAGGGGAGTCTCTTTCACAGACTGGGCAGGATGGAGCAGTTCTCAGGGAGTCCCAAGGACATTTTTTCAGGTGCTTCTCAAACTGGGGAGAAGTGACAAGAGCAGCAGTACCGGATTTTTACAATCTGCCAGTGAGACCAGATGTAAGCACAAAGCTGCTGAGCATACAAAACGAGCAAAAGCACAAATCCGAGTACAGAAACGGGAAGAAAAAAGAACATGCAGTCACATGGAAACAACCAGAGATGCATCAAACTGGTCTTGAATGTGTCATTAATAACTCCTTAGAGTTGTGCCTGGCACCAACTTTGTAGTCTTTTCAATGCCAGCTGAAGACTTTTTATTTTCCCAGCATTTTAACACTCTAACCTTTAAACTTTATTTGTATATACAGTTGTACCTCAGCTCACAAACTTAAACCGTTCCAGGACTCTGGTTGTGACCCAAATTGGTCGTGAGCCAAGTCAGATTTCCCCATAAGGTTCAATGTAAATAAGGTCAATCAGTTCTGTAATTATTTTTTTAATCAGAAAAATGTGAAGCAAAGTGACAACAACGAAGATGGCGGCCGTCTCCCTGCCCCCCCCCCAACATGATCGCGATCGCGCCCGTCATCCCGGCGCACTGGGGGGGGGGGAGACAGGTGCACTCGGTGGGGGGAGATGGTCGAGATCGCGGTTGCGCTCGTGCAGGAAAGATGGGCACGATCTCGGCCATCTCTCCTCCCCAGCACGATTGCTCCCGCCTCCCCACTCGGAGGGCAGGGGGAGATGGCCATGATCGTGGTCACCACCCAGTGTGGAGCTCGCGACCTGAGCCAAAAGCATTTTCACGAAACGCCTGTTCACGGCCTGACTTGGGCGTGGACGGAGGCGCTCGGGGGCCGAGGGTTGCCTTGTGTGGCGCGAACGCATCTGTGCTGAGCAGCCGCACTCGCTCTTGCCATTACACTCTCGCCCTTTTAAATCATGTTTGCACCTGTGTGCCTTCTAAACTTCTGTTTAATTCTAATTTTTGGTCACTGCCCAGAGAGCCTTGGGCATAAACATGAAATGAAATACATACGTGTGTTCATTGACCTCTTTAAACAGGAGTGGCGTGTTTGGGACAAGGCTGACGCATGTGACATCTCCTGCCCAGGGGCGCTGAGCGCTAACGAGGTGCCTGCTGTCCCACCCGGCCGGCCGGCCGGCCGGCCACCCTCGGCCTCCAGGGCGGAGAGGAGACAGGCCCTGCGACGACGCTGACTGCCGGAGAGCCTCAGCCCCTCTGCCTGCGCCGATCCTGCAGCGTTCTCCTTCCTGCCGATCCATCTGACGGCTCTGGTCGCCATGCGCCAAATGACCTTCCCAGAGACACATCCGGGGAGGGCAGAGGCACAGAATCGGGGCCGGGGGGGCCCTGTCTTGGCACCCGTGAGCGGGGGCCGGGACTGGGCAGGAGCCCCCCTTGCGACAAGCACTTTGCTTTTTGGTGGGAAGAGGCGCATCCCTGCGCTTGCGGGTGGCCGCCCCGGCCGGAGAGGAGGGAGTGCGCAGCACGTGAAGGCACACCGTTATTTTTCACGCAATTCTCGGCTGTCATTTTCCACAGATGTGTAACTTGCTGAGCTACGGCTATTTGTCACAGTATTTCTTGAGCTTCCAGAAGCCCCCTTCTAAACAAGCGCTCTCAATTATTATTTTTCCAATCATTCCTTGTCAATCAGGCATTCAGTCAATCATTTCAATCATGGCGTATATTTTTATGCCGCTTTTGGAATTCGCCAGGGTGGGAAGGCTTGGTGGTGGCAGCAGAAGGCATCGCGAAGGGAGGAGGGTCGTGAGGGCAGGACGCCGGTTGGGGGACGGGCAAGCGCGTGCACTCAGCAGCCCCCCGGAAATAACGGGGTGCCTCAGACACTCGCCGTCTCCTGGCTCTCGAGCAGCCACTCCAGCTGCGCTCATGCTTGTCTCCTGCAACGTTCGTGTTTCCAGCTCCAGGAGAGCCATTTTGCTTCAGGAAATCGCACTTGTCCTGGAAAGCCATTGGCAGCCTTCTAATAAAACAGAGATGTGCATTCTTCAAAATCATTATATCCCACCTTTCTTTCTCGTGCCAGGTGGCTTGCAAGATTCTCCTAAGGCAACCCTATAGATAATGGGACCGGGAGAAAAATCCAATGAAGGAATGGGGTTCTCCTCCATTTCATCCTCACGGCAACCCTGTGAGGGAGGCCAGACCCAAAGGTCATGCCGTGAGCCGCAGGGCTGCTCGGGTCGAGGGCCCGGCTGGCCTGCATCCCAGCCACATGCGCTTCCTGCGGGCCACCCTTGCGCAGGGGAGGCGGCCGGCTGGAAGAGGACTCCCCTGGACTAAGTAGAACTCCAGGCTGTGGCTGGGGGCCCTCCCTGGCTGTAGGGCTTGGGGGCTTGTCCAGCACAGCAAGCGGAAGCAGAGCCCCCCCTGGTTGGACAGGGGCCTTCCCCAGCACGAGGAGCCCAGGCACGCCTGCTCGGGAGCAAGCCCTGCTGCTGAAGAGCAGCCCTCCAGCAGGGCCAGCCGCAGACTCCCCAGGGGTCACAGGTCGCGGGCCTCTCCCCGGCCTCCGTGGCCAGGGCTGCCCTCAGATGGCGGGTGCAGAGGCTGGGGAGGAACCAGGGCTCCACTCCTTGGCCGCGGCTTTGCTTTTTCAGTGGGGACTGCAGAGAGCGAGGCGGAAGAGCAGCGCCTGGCCCTCCGGGGCTGCCTGCGCTCAGTGGCGCTGCCTCATTGGTGCCCGTCCGTGGCATCACGTGCTGAGCTTGGACCTGCGGATTATTTGCCTGCCTGCCCAGCAGCATGTTGATGATGCGATCCAAGAAAAATGGATCTGTGCCGCCGTTGGCAGTTGCTGCAGGATGCGGGCCTCTGAAGGGGGACGGCCACCTTGGAGGTGGCAAGGAAAGCCGTTTCTCCGGGAAGCCTGTGCACAGCACCGCACATGACTCCAGGCCCGCTGCCCCGCACTCCTGCGCTGGTTCTGTTCTCAGCGCCAGCACGATCCGCAGTCACCGGAGGCTTTGCACCAGGCAGCGCTGCCGCTTCCCCCCGCCCAGTGAGGCCTGCCAGGCGAGGGGACCGTAGCTCCCCCTCGGTCACCCAGAGAGCTCCGGGGACCTGAGACTGGGCCTCCCTGGCTGAGATGTTCCCTGCCACCCCGTTCGGGCTCTCTCTCAGCACTGAGGTGCTATTCTGCAAGCTGAAGCTTGGCCTTGCAGCATGGATGTCAGTAGTTCTGCTGGTTGTTCTGCTGTGTCTTAGTAAACCGGGGGTGCCAACCCTCAGCTCTGGGGCCAGGCCTGACCCTCTGGGTCTCCAGTTCTGCTTCCCAGCCACCAGCCCGAGCAGCTCCCCTGGCATTTCTGCAGCCTCCTGTCCTTGAAATGCCTCTTCTTGGGCACCGGGAGGGACCAGCAGTAAGAACAGGGTTTGGGGATGTGCGGATTGGGCGCTGCCCATCCCGCCTTCAGCCCCACTAGGCACCGGGCTTTCCGTCTCTGGCAGGAACCTGGCTCTGGGGCAGAAAGAGGGCCCAAACCTCTGCTGGGATCCAGAACAGAGTGGGTGGGATCACTCCACATCACAGCAAAGGATGTGACGGAAGCCAGTGTTTCATAGGGGAACCTTTTGTTTCAAATTGGTTTGTTGGCACACCAAGTGTTTTAAAGCTTCCCACTGGATGCACAAATTGCTGGGCACTTACTGTGAGTTTTGCATCATGCTAGACTTCTGCTGAACTCCCATGGAAATGTTTAAAATGAACTACCGCAGAAATGTTAACACATGGCCTGTGAATGTGTTGCACATACCATTATGGTACATATTAGCTCTGTGGGGGTTCTTTCCGTGGTATCGCTGCTATGTTAGTGCCCAGTGGAAACAAAAATTGCTGTTATCGTAACAAAAGTATGTAAACTCTGTGTTTTCACTTCCCAACTGCCTTGCAAAAGGTTACCTGCAAGCAGCTGCAACCTTAAGGCAGAGGAGATGGGTAGGTGAGCTTTTGGCCCCAAAGATAACTTAATTCAGAAGTCGGGTTGTTATTATTACAGCACAATAATGATAATACTGCACACAGCACCGGAGAGCAGACATAAATGCAGGGAAACTGTGCCAAGTGTTAAGACTGTGGGCTCCATGCATGTTTTCTCTGCTTTCTGAGAATTATTCAATAACTTATGAACCTTGCTGTCATTATGTACATTTTTTTCCCTGAAACTGGGAAAATTCTAGTCCCATGTTCCATAGTGGGCAGATGTATCTAGGGTTACTACTTAAGTCCCGCATTTCAGATGTGAACTGCACGACAGGCACACGCGTCCATTCTCAGGGGGTGCTTGCAAATGCAACCCAACATGCAGCTTCCGAGCACAATTCAAAGTGCTCTTGGAAATCGGCTCCTTCCTTGCTGCGCTGGAGCGCCCCGTTTCCACAGCCCCCCCCCCCGCTGAAAAGATGCAGCCATTCTGCGCGCACAGCCGCTTCCTCGGCCCTGCAGGCGCCGCGGCCTTCGCGGAAGGAGCGGGGAGATCACTCCGGTACACGCGCTTCGCCGCACGCACACGCGTCCTCCAGAGCTGCGTCGAGCGTGGGAAAGCAACGGCTTTCTGTGCGCTCTTTTCTGAAATGCCTAAGTCTTCTTCCATGGAGGACCCGTATGGAGCTGCCTGGAAGGGGCAGGCCGATCACAAGCCCCGGCATCGCCTGCCCTTTCCGGGGCCCCGGGGTGGGGGGAGGCTCTCTCCCCAGCGCCCGCGCTGCGGGAAGCCTGGGCTCTCGCGCGGCCTCGTGCCTCCGACTCCCGAGCGAGGGGGCCGCCTCTGGGGAGGCTGCCGGTCCGGAGGCGCTCCAGCGCAGAGCAGGGAGGGCGGCATCCCCCGCCCCGGCACGGAAACCGGGTGCGGCGACCACCTCTGGGGGCGCGGATCGGGCAGTGAAGGGGAGCACCCCAGGAGCACCGCAGGCACGACTGAGCGCAGGCTGAGATTGGAGAGGCAGTGTGGGGTAGTGGCTAGAGCGCGGGACTGGGACTCGGGGGATCAGGGTTCGGGTCCCCGCTCGGCCATGCAGCCCACGGGGTGACCCTGGGCCAGCCACAGACTCTCAGCCCAGCCTGCCTCACAGGGTGGTTGTTGGGGGTATGAGTGAGTGCAGGAGGAGGAGGCTGTAAGCCGCTTCGTAAGAAAAAAGGTGGGATACAAATCTAATAAATAAATGCAGCAGGACAGCCAGAAGGGGCAGGCCTCCCATCGCCCGAGCAGCTGCCTGGAGGAAGGGGCTGCGGCCCTCGCGCGGGGCCCGCCGGGCGCGCCAGCGGGAGCGCCCCCTCCCCTCCCGAGGCGGAAGCCCCGCCGCCCTCCGGCCCCCCAGGGAGGCGCCGAGCAGCGCAGGACGTGCCCCGCGGGGCCCTCGAAGCAGGGCGCCTCCTGACACGGGGCTGCCGCGCATCCGGTGCAGGGTGTCCCCCCCGCACCCAGCACCTCAGGCTCCGCATTTCGTGCGGGGGGCCGCTTGCTGCCACCCCGACCCAGAGCTGCGGGGGGAAGGAGGCGCCCGCCGGGCCCCGGGCCCCGGCTGCTCCGCCCCACCTTCGGCCCCTCCCGGCGGACGCCCTCCCGCGCTGATTCCGCCGAGGGGGGTGGCTGCCGCTGGGGGAGCGCAGAGCTGGGATGCGAGCAGTCCCTTCGCCCCGAGGCGGCCACGGACGGGCACGCGCCTCTGCCTCGCTTCGGACAACTCCGCGGCCCCACGGTGGCCATCCCCAGCGCCCGTGGGGGCGCAAGGGCACGATCCCCGGGCCGCGCGGCCGCGAACTCGCTCCCAGGGCAGGCAGGCAGGCGGTGGGGCGACACGGAGCTTCTCGCCACGCTGCACCTTCCGTTCTGCCCACAGCCGCCCTTGCCCCGTCAAGGAAGCCCGCTCAGCCCCTCAAGCCTCCAACAGCCCTGCGAGGTGGGACGGGCCAAGGGCACAGATGAGCTGCAGGGCAGGGGGGGGGAGCAGGGCCAGCCCTGCGCAGCCCCCCAGGCTCCCCGCCGTGCCTCGGCCCTGGAATCAGCAAGGCCGCGCGAGGAAGGGCCTCGACGGCGGAGCACGGCCATGCGGAGCCTGCGCCCTGCCGGGTCCCTTCGTGGGCTGACCGCAGGGCCACTGGGGGGGGGGGCTTCTCCGCCTTGCCCACTTGCAGCAGCGGGTTGCGAGCTGGCCGCTGCTTCGGCACATCCTTGGAACGCGCCCGGGCCGAGAAGCGGGGAGCGGCGCTGGGTCCCCTCCGAGCCACGGCCGAGCGATGGAGAGGCTGCCCCATCCCTCCCACGAGGACCCGCCGGCCGCTCCGCGGGGCCCTCTGCGTGCCCAGGAATCCGTCAGAGACAGTGCGCTGCGTAACCGTTTTCCTGCGCTCAATCGATGAAGCAGCTGCATTTCTCAGCATCCGAGCCTGGTTTCTCTGTCCACCAGCCCCTGCATCTTTCCAGCCTTCTACACTAATCTACGCCTTGCAAATCTTTTTCCAAAATGCAGTTACTGCTCTTCCACATCGTTCTCCTAATCTATGATTTTGACCAAGAAACAAATGAAATGTTAAGCTATATTGGTGAGCGAAGCTTCAACCAGTTTGATTCCAACTAGGTGTTCTGCTAGGAGCTTTCGTGCCGCCGTGCGGTTGACTCCTCACCGAACCTCCCCCGCTTAGGAACCTGCAATAGAAATATGAATTTTTCCCGGCTGAACCCGGGAAGGGAGAGCAGGTGCTTCAGATAAGAGGGTTGGAGGAAAGATGGATGGTCGGTGGACTATCGTCCACAGCCACTGGGCTTATGATGCAAGCAACTGAAACTAAAAACACATTGTGGGAAATCAGTGGAACTGGAAGTCGGGTCGAATTCAAAACAGTTCAGTACAAAAAAGAGGCAGAAACGGAAGAGAAATGCATCTTATCATTGCTGACCGAGGCATAGAATGGTTTACTCCAAATTAGCTGGAAAGTTTGGGGAACGACCACGTTGTGAGGAGTCTTGCTCCGAAGTTCCACCTGGAGAAATTGCAAGAAGAAATCATAGGAATATGAGACGGATCGCAGCCTCTTCAGAATAATTACTGGTTCCCATAGGATGCATCTGTCTGCACGAAGAAATTGCTCTGGTCCTTCATGACTCCACTTCACACCATTTGCTCCCAGCTCAGAAGTGTCATTGCGAGAACATCCGATCTTTACGAAGGCTCGCTCTTAGAACCTCCAAATGCTTCAAACACTCTTAAACGTCAATTGCTTTCTAAATGTATTTTGTTTGCAGTCGCTTTGCGTCGCCGTGTTCGGTCCTTTCCCACCAAATGCGAATGGAGCAGAAGCTGCTTAAGATGCCAAAATAAAATCGAGCAAGACGGGCCTGGCTCTCTCTTCCAAACGGTGTGAATGCCGGAAAGTTGGGAAGTAAGCGCGCTCCGACAGCGGGATGGCGTTCCCGGCCCCTCTGGGGCCCCTGCCTTCAAGACACAATTCCACGGAGCACAAGACAAACCTGCCACGCTCTTCCCTCCAAGGGACGGGTCTCCGCGGCTCAAACTGTGACACCTCAGAATTACGTCTAATTTCCTGTGTCTGCACTGAAAACGCTCCTTTTAGAAAAGCGACGTCTAAAGCGCTTTTCTTCCGGGAAATCCGTCTCAAGGGGCGCCTTCACTGAGGGGCATCAAGGCCAGATTCCTGCCCGATCTGCTTCGGGAGGGCCGCCGGGCGCTGGGGCCGGGCCCCCTTCGCCAAGCCGCGGGCGCAGGGCGGCTGCTCCTGGCGCGCCTGCCGGTTCAGCGTCTCCGAAGAGGACGTGCCCCCTCGCTGCCTCCGCGCGAGCAGGCAGGAGCTCGCCTGCTCCGAAATGCCTCGCCCGGAGGGAACCGACACCCTCCGGGCGCGCCCCCAGGGGATCGTCCCCAGTGGCGCCTGCGGTGGCGCACGCGGAGCTCAACAGGCGAGTTCTTGGATGCGGCCAAGCCCGAAAGGCAACTTGAGAACACGGAAGGCGATGAACGTGGGAAGCGCGGACTGCGCGAGGGCTTTCCTTTCAGCTCCCTCTTCCAGGGGCAACGGCAGCGCGTGTCGGGGTCTGGGGCAGGGGGGCGCTGGAGTCCCCCGTGTTTGTGCGTGTGCGTGGAGAGGAGGGGCGACGCATAGGCTCCAGCGAAAAGCAAGTCTGCCGACTCTGGGAAGCGGCACATCCCCCCAGCAGGGGGTGGCTCGTCCCCTAACCCCGGCCCTCTCCCGGGCCAGCGCGGGGCGCCCCATCCGCCGCGCAGGTCGCCCTGCATCAGCCCCGCTCCTCGCCCTGCCCGCGCGGCTCTCTCGGGCGGGAAGCGCCTTCGTGCCCGGGTCGTCCCCTCGGGCCGAGGGAGTCGGAGCCGGGCTCGCTGTCCCGGCGAGGCCAGCCGGAGCCTCGCAGCTCCGGACGCGGCGGCTCGGCAGGACGCCGCCAGCTCTGAGCTGGCTCGCCCGGTTTTTCTCCGAGGGCCATTCGCCCGCCCCCGCGCCGCCGTCCCGCTCCGGCGCTGAGCGAATTCCTGCGCATCGCTTGCTGCCCACGCCGTTCAGGGCGGCTCCAGCGCGGCTCCACCGGCGAGCTTCCGCCTCTCCCGCCACAGTCGCACGACGCAGCTTCTCCGGAGACCCCGCCTGGGATCCGCGTTTGCGGCGATGCGCGAGAACGGACGTCCGGTGGATCTGGACGTGGGCGCGCACTCTGCGGGGACCTCCGGGAGCTGCGCGGGGCCGGCCAGGTTTAGAGGCTGCTTCGGGGGCGACGGGGCGGCCTCCACCCCGGCCGTGCCTCCTCCCAGGCGCTCTCCCGTGTCGCTGTGCCACGTCAGGACGGCCACTCCGAGCGAGGGCAGCTGCGCCTTCGCGCTTTTCCGCGGGCGGGCGGGCGGCGGGGGTGCGGGAGGCCCCAGCAGGGCTCTCCCCAGTCCGCTCGGGTGCGCGGGGGCCGGCAGGGCGGGGGCTCAGGGCCTCTCCTCGCCCGCAGGGCTCCCTCTCCGGGGCTGCCTTCGCCCCTCGCTGCGCCTCGCGCCCGGAGTCCAGAGCCCCGCTCGCCTGCAGGGGGAAGCCGGCAGGAAGCGCTCGCCGCGCACCCTCTGCCGGGGCCCGCGCAGGAAAAGGCCCCTCTGGCCGGGCGGCCGGGCTCCCTCGCCAAACTCCCGCGTCTCCGAGAACGACCCGAGCCGCGGCGGGGCTGGGACGCGGCCGCCCAGTCGAGCAATGGGCCTGCCCCGTGACGTGCAGGGTGAGGACGGGGAGCCTTTAGATCGCTCATAATTAAACATCCAATAATAACTCGTTCGCAAGATTCTTCCGCTTCCTTCGATTTCCGTGGCCGGTCGAGAGGCACGCGCTCTGGGGAGGAGCGGGAAAAGCAGGGCTCCCGAAACGCTTCCAAGTGGGGCAACCCCCCTTTATGATTCGATAGCCTATTTTATGTTCGAAACTAACGTGCTCGACCGTCCAAAAACAAAAGCCAGCCGCCCACGGGAGCGCGAGCAACTTACCCGAGGCGGCGCGCCTGCTTTTCTGCCTCCAGAATCCGCCAACGGACGAAAAGAGACTAAACGCTGGAGCAGGGTCGGGAAAGCAACGAGTTTAGCCGGCAGCGCTTCTCTCCGAGCCGGCCGTCCAGACGGTGCTCTGGAAAAGGTTCGGGGCCTCGGGTCTGCGAGGGGCCGCGGGGAACCTCGCGGGCACGGCCTGCCCCGGCGCAGCCTCGACTTCCCCCCAGCGCTCAGGACGCAGAGGCGCTCGGGCGACCGTCTTCGCGCCCCCGAACTGGCCTTGGCGACCGTGCCCAGCGTGGCGTTGCCTGGCGAAAGGAAACAGCGACTGGCCCAGCGCGACGTCGACTTGTTTCTTTATTGGTTCAGATTTTCGGCAAAGTGCTTTCGATATCATTTGGATCAGCATCTGCTTCGTACTTTATACACAAATTATAAAGTTCCTGTTTTAAATAACAGCCAGAAATATACATGGGTGGTTGAAGTTTATAAAAGTGTTCCTTTTTTTTAAACGAGTTCCAGATAAGACACCCCCTTTAATTTTATGTTAAACTCCCCACACACAGGTACTTTTCAATAATAATAATAATAATAATAATAATAATAATAATATAGCAAAGAAAGCAAACCGACACCGACGGGTGTAAAAACCGCGGGACCGAAAGGAAAGGGGGCCGCGTGTCCTCGGCCACGCCGAGAAGGGGGCGGCCGCTGCTTTCCACCCTGAGAGGCGCCGCGGAGCAGCCCTGGGCGCGCCAGCGGCCGGGCCGGGCCGGGCCGGGCCGGGCCAAGCCGGAGGGAGGGAAGGCAGGCAGCCCCGCAGCGGCAGGGCCCGCAGCACATCCGCAAAGCCGGCTGCCCCCGACGGCGCGCCCGCGGGCCCTCTGCGCGGCCGGGAGCGGGCAGCGCGAGCGCCCGAGCCCCCCGGAGGGCCCCGCCACGGGCTGCGAGGCGGC